CCTAACTATTCTATGATTCTATGAGTCTAGGATTCTATTTACCTACTGTCTCACACATCCATCTTTTAATCCTTAGTCTTTCATCACTTTATGTCAAAAACAATCAGAAAGTTAGAAAGATGTACTTTGCAAGTTGTTTTAATTTGTTAGGAGATTATCGTGATATGGGATTTAAATTTTATGTTTAGAGATGATGTTGCTCTTTTCATCTCCTTGTTGAAATGTCCTTCCTGTATGTACTGATGTCTGGGCCAATTCAAAATGCTTGTAAAGCAGCACAATTATAAATACCTCAAGCTATTCTGATTTCTAGAAAAGTCCCTGGCTCATGCCCACTTGAAGGTGTGCTTGTCAGCCTTGTCATATCTATGTAAGGAACGTATTTTGGAAGATGAAAGTAATCTCTTTTCTGCTTTGTCACTTTGGGTGGAAAACTTCTAAGACAGATGAGGAAAAAACTGAGATCCAATGACAATTACAATTATTTCTGAATCCTTAACATCTTGTGTCTTCTCTCAGAATCTATCTGGGGCATCCTTGGTAGAGAATGTTTAGATAATGTCTTTTCTTATAGAACTGTGGTTCTACAAGAAAACCTGTTCAGCTTTGATAAAGTGGGCATGTCATTCAATTGAGCAACTTGTTTCTGGATCTCATGCTAATTAAAACTGAGAAATTACATCCTTAAGGTGCTAGGAGTACTGTGGCTTAGTATCTTAATAAGATTTTTATAGTTTTTCCATATTCATTACTTTTCTGTAGTCATCATTCAGACAAGTAACAAAATACAATGACAAGACATAAAGATTACATCAATTCTCTTAATAGGATCAAAATATATTGTGCTCTTTTAAACAGTAAGGTCTTACATGGTGTTCTTCATATCCCTCTGAAAAATACTATTGCTGTTTCTAATGCCCAAATCAAGCATTTGTTTATGATAACAAGCACTAGGAAAAAAAAATGCCCAAAACAAATAAAAGCAAACAACTCTGTCTGCTGGCATGGTACTGTTGTAATGTTTCTTGTGATTGGAAGTGTGCAGGGGACATGTTAGAAGCTATAAAGGTTGCTTGTTTATAACAAAGATTCTTAAATTCTTCTTGTTCTGCATATTCTCATTCACTGTCCATCTTCTTTCTCCTCGCTCTAGGATTGTAGCCAGGAAAGCAAATGCAGCAAAGGGTGTCCCTTTGCTTTCATAACTTCTCTTTCAGAACTCTTTTACAGCGAAGTGAAGTAACAACCATTTTGAAAATTGCTGTCAGGGAAGGGAAGGAGGTGTGTGTGTAGGACATTAGTGTCTATGTACCTCTATCCCTCAGTATTTTAGCAAGTGGCATGTCTGGGAAAAGGAAACATTCTAAGACATCTCTTGTCTCCCAGTCAACATCTTTCAGTGAATATACCTTTGAACTTTATTGTTGAGAATGGCAAAAAAACAAAGTGTCATTTGACAAGGAATAATAAAGATCCTGTAGAATGACAGTAGCCTGATCATGAGGCATCTGTTTCAGAAGAACAAGTAGTGTGCTAGAAGAGAATGCTTGTCTGTGTGAAATGTGGTAGCAGAAAAGTGGAGAGACATCACAGAGAAACATCACACATAAATGTGCAATTGCAAGTGTGCCCATAGGGAGAGAGAGAGTTAAGGGGAATGCTTCCAGGCAAGTTGTAAGATTTTAAGATTCACTGGTGAAGAAGATACTAGAGAGGTTTCAGCACGTAAATGTGGAGCTTGGAAATAGTCAATAATCTGTGCTGAAATCTATTAGCAAGAAAGGAGATTAAAAAAGAATGCATGAATACATGGGAAAGACTGAATACATAATCATTACAGAGGGAGCAAATGCATCTCTTTCTGGGCAACTGTTACCATAAGGCTGAATGGCCTCTATGGATGGTTGCTTCAGCACATATAAAGAGCTATGATTGGACTGGCCCTAAGACAGGTAGGGTCAGATGCATGTATGTGCTTCCTTGCACTCTGCCACTAGGAACAAGAGAGGGTAAACTCAATATGCAGGAGCAGGAGATCGTAATGTTGCTGTGATCTCTGGGTCCACTTTCGACTCCACTTCTTCACACTTCTTTCTAGAAAGATCTCTCCATTGAAAGGTACTCATGGATCCTAATATTTATGTAATTTCCTCATGCAAAGATACAATTGCAGTGTCAGTCTGATTTTCTGATTGTCCTGTGACTTCACGACACAACATATCCTTGACATACCCCCTTCTTTAATTTTTTCCTTTTTTCTTTCTCCTTTTTTCCTTTTTATTTTTTCTTATCATTTTTACTTTTGCTTTTACTTTTTTACTTCTACCTTTTTTTAATCTTTTTAACCTTTTCTTACCTTTTAAATTTTATTTTTTTTTTTACTTTTCTTACTTTTTTAAAAAGGAAGCTTATATAATCATAGAATAGTTTGGGTTGGAAAGATCATCAGACCTTAAGATCATCTAGTTCCAGCCTCCCTGCCATCGGAGGCGTCCCATGGCATCCCATGGGCAGGGACGCCTCTCACTAGACCATGTCACCCAAGACTTTGTTGAAGCCGGCCTTGGATACTGCAAGGGATGGGGCATTTACGTAAGAATATATTTTATTGTGGGTAATTTCCAGCTATAAACTTTAGGTACCATTTACACCTATAACAGACTAAACCTAAAAAGTATGGACTTTTCTTCTGATGAATCAAGCTTGTTTAGAATAATGTTGCACCTTGTGAAATTATTTGTATCTGTGAAAAGTGCATAGTAGGAATAATCATGATACTATGACTGGTTATACCCACTTTCTCTCCTTCGCACACATTTAAATGAGAACACAAGGTACAAGGCACTTGGGCTATAGAGCTAGATTGTATTATATAACTAGGAAAAAAGATAGTTTTAATTTTTCTGAATTTTATCTTTTATTTAATAGGTCTGTCTAAGCTGATGGAGGCCAGTGAGTCTGTTGCTAAACTCTCTAAGGAGTTAGCCATTAAGGAGAAGGAACTAGCTGTGGCGTCTGTTAAGGCAGATGAGGTAAGTATTTGAGTGTTAAATAGCAAAAGGCAGTGGTTAGCACCAAGATATTTAATGGGGTAAAGTGCTATTGCAGAATTTTCTTATAATTTGTACAAGCCAAAAAATGCACATTGTGATCTAAAATCCTTTCAATCCTTTCTCTGTAGCATGTTGATTCAGCTTTTGCTTCTGAAAGTGAGGCACTTTAAGACTACAACAGAGATTGAGTGCCATGTTCTCCTCCCATTTCTATACCACACCTATAAGAAGCAGGTTTCATTTTTGGGGGTTTTTTTGGTTGGCTTTTTTTTTTCTTTGTTGACATTTATTAAATTTTAGGGTACAGATGCACTTATCTGCAGATAGAAAGTTAACATGATAATGGGACTTTACTATTTCAAAATTGCTTAGAAAAAATTCATCACAGTTCGGTTTCATATTTTGTCTTTTACATTAACAACATGTCTGTGTGCATGAGATTGGTAGTCTGGTAGAAATCTAGTTTCCAAAATGACTTACTGTAAAGGTATGTTAGGGTATGTATTAATATAGGCATTCTGTTTTCTGAAAGATGCCATAATGCTATGATGGTGCATAGTTAATATGCATGGGAGAGCAAACTTTGAGCCAGCGATGGCTACAGGACTGCTTGCATTCTTCAAGACCTTTAATCTCATGAGGGAGAAAGTTATGACAGAAAGGAATGAAATTACACTTCTCACATGTCTGGTATATAACAGATATGTTGATAGAGTTCACTTTGTTTAATATTTATATTTTCTTTACATTTTGAAATAGCTCTCTGGCAACCATTCACATAGCCTCTTAGTTGTCAACTTTTTCAATAGGGCTTTACTTATGAGTCATCAGAAGTAGAAGACATATCGACAAATAATAAAAGAACATGTTTATTTAAACTACGTGTAGTATTGTTCATATTTTATGTATTTCTTTCTTTCCCTTAGTACTGTACCCTGTAGAAATCAGAACTGAATTTCAGACAAAAAAAAAAAAAAAAGAAGAAGGATTTGGGGATTTTATCTGTGAATTTCTTCATGGGTATTTGAGAACATTATCTATGTTCTTGTAAATGCATACAGAGTGCCTTGATCCTATAGCTGATACTGGTCAAAAAGCTAACTGTACGTTACACATTCACAAGAGATTTGAAAATATATGTGCTGAAGAGCTAGACATAGATGCATAACTTCATTCTGTGAATATATTTATATAATGCTATATATAGTTTGGATTAGCTGTATAACGGCCTCTACATATCAGTTGCGTCTGATAATCATTTGTTCCACCATTTTGCTTTATATATTTAATGGTTTATTATCAATTCCAGGTGCTAGCAGAAGTCACAGTAAGTGCTGAAGCTGCATCTCAAGTAAAAAATGAAGTCCAAGGTGTGAAAGATAAAGCACAAAAAATTGTGGAGGAAATTGATGTAGAAAAAGTGAAAGCAGAGACTACATTGGAGGCTGCTAGACCAGCATTAGAAGAAGCAGAAGCTGCACTGAATGTGAGTAGAATTCTTACATTTTGATTAGTTTAGTACTATTTCAGTCAACCGTGAAAGAAAGGCTAGAGTGACCACCATTTGTCACTTGGTTTTGGCTGCTGTCACCAGCTCTTCACAGGTAGTGGTCATGTCTTTGAATATTTACGGAGCTCACATTTTGCCTTAACCACATGGAGATTGTTTTATAGTAGTTGTTCTGCCTCCACTCTAATACTTGTTCATTAGGAAGGTGTAAATCTTTCAAAAATTTACAGATGCCTTTAGAATATCTTTTATTTTTAATTCAAGAGAATACTTCTTGTGCTAAAAGAATGGCTTTATTTTCATATTTAATTACCTGTATCTTTCTTTTAAGATGACTAAGAGGATGTCTCTTCCTTCAGCAAAAAAATACTTAATTTGGAAAGAAGCAGAAAGCAAAAGGGATTCAGAGCAATCAGAATAAGAGTTAAGAAATTTGGAGGCATTGCTGTACTCTGCATAATTTCATTATTCTGAACAATTAAAAAGTTAAAAAAAAATGAGAAATCAGAAATCAATGATGTATTATATTTTTAATACTTTATGTTCATTTACCAGAATTTATGTGCCAAGAAATACTGAGTGGAGAAGGCTAGAAAAGAAGCATTGTTTGCTCTTACACTGACATTTAGATAATAAGATAAATGAAACTATGAAAAATGGTCACAAAATTCACTTATAAAATATGCGGACTCATACATTATCCTGTGATGTAACCACTCCTTCTAGACAATTAGTGGCATGCATATGTTTTGCACAAATTAATATGTTAGTTTTGAAGTTTGCAATCATTTATAATTTTTCTATTGGTTATTAAACCAAAGCAAAGTGTCAGTGATGCTGCTAGAAAATGAAGTAGTAGTACCTCATACCAATAATAAATTAAAATCCAACAAAACCAATCAAAACCATCTTAGAATAAATGATGACACTTAAGCCTTAAAAATCCAAAATATTATTTTACCAAGAAAACTGCTTTTAATTAATTCCTATACAATTTTACAATATAATTATCTTCATTGAGTTAATGCTGCTGTTCCATGTATTTACATTTGATTTTTGAGTGATGTCTTTAGATTTGGAAAAATATTCATATCTAATAGATATTAATTAAAATTATTAAGTTTCATGAAACTATGACATTTATAAAAGCCCCGTTAGTCACTTTTTTATATGTACTTAGTACAAACTTGCCTCAGAGAAAAGTATGACAAGCAAACGTTACAATCAAGATATTGAATGGGAAAATAGAATAATGGTATTGATGCAGGATTCTGTTACATTTTTCTTCAAATAGACCATCAAACCAGCAGATATTGCTACTGTTAGAAAACTTGCAAAACCTCCTCACCTAATTATGAGGGTCATGGACTGCTGTCTGCTACTATTCCAAAAGCCAGTAGATCCAGTTACCATGGATCCAGAAAAGCCTTGCTGCAAGCCATCATGGGGAGAATCATTAAAAGTAAGTAGTTTTCAGTATTTCTTAAACATCAGAAATAGCAACTTGAATATCAGAGAATTTATGATGCTGTTTACTTAAAAAAAGATAGAATTTTGCAAAAGGCAAACACAGGGTTTTAAGATAGGCATAGTATATAAATAGAGCTTATTTCATAGCAAGTAGTAGGTGAATTGTTTAGAGACTCGCAGTAGGGGCTTTAGGTTTTCCTTGTCCTTGTGCCTGGCATATGACCTGATGGGAAATAAATAAATAGTAGTACCAATCATGTTAACCATACACGAGATAAGGGCATTCTGGAGAAGACCTCTTTCTCTTTGGGAACTTGTAGGTCCATATCTAAACAGTCTTTCCTGATCCTCCCAGACTACTTGATTGTTTGAAAGATTATTTGACTGACTGAGACATAGTAGCTTTTCCTATTCTGCATTTCAGGATCCCTGGCTCAAATTTCTTGGTTGGCAAGCCATCTCTTCCTTCTGGACTTCGATCTTCTCTCAGAATACTCTTATTTTCCTGCCTTCTCCTGCCATTCTTTAAATTCTGTTCTACCTCTATTAATGTATTAATTTGCCAATAGGATTGCCTTAATTTTTTTGTTATGCAAATAATGAAAAGTAGGGGTTTTTTTGGATATGAACAGAACTCTTGCTTTTTATTTAAGCATTTTTGGAAATTAAGAAATCATCAAAACTTTATTTTCTGCCAACATTATGAAAATGGGATAAGCAGTTATTCCATGAGTTTCCTTTAATATGCTAAATATTTGTTATAAAAAAATTTAAAACCAATAATTTCCCTTTCCAGAAGAATTTAGGTCACATTTCATCAATGCATAAGCCATTTACTTGGCATTCTTTAAGTAAGTTACAAATATATCTCTGAGGCTTTATCTTAGTTAATTTTTTTTTATGAAATGTGGCTTCTCAAATGCTTTTTAAATGGCAACATGGGAATATGGAAGATAAAAAGTTCATCAATAACTTTCAAGCCCAGTTATTGGAGTGCAACTGCTTAAAACTCCAGGCATGTAGGAGTTACAACTGAATAGCAATACTTACGATATTAACTGTGTGAATTACCTCTTCAGAAGAATTTTAGGAACATTTTTAACATACTCATCTATGAACAAGCTTTTGAACGTAAAATGTCCAAATACCTTATAAACATCCTGTATTGTTTTTTGCAGTTTATGAGTGGCCCATTCTTGCAGAGTCTACAGCAGTTTACTAAGGATTCAATGAATGAAGAGACAATAGAATTACTCCAGCCTTACTTTAACATGGAAGACTATACACTAGAGCATGGTAAAAAGGTGTGTGGTAATGTGGCAGGACTTCTCTCTTGGACACAAGCCATGGCAAGATTTTATGCTGTTAACAAAGAAGTCTTACCTCTTAAGGTAATACATTATCCCTTGCTGTGTTTTGTCTTTTTATGTAATTTAATTTCATTTGCTTTAGTAGTAGGATTTTAAAAATATGTTTAGGTAACTTTATTCAGAAATAATTGCCTGTAGACTTTAGTTGCCAAGGATGATAAAAGCAGAAAACCCCCATAGCCTCATCTTGATTCTAGAGAGAACACTAAACACAAAATTAGCCTCCATCAGAGGCTGTTTTATTGTGTACAGTGGAAGGTGTTTTCAGTCCTTGTATTTACTATAACTACTTTATAATTGTTTTCAAGAAGTTATACCAGGATCTTTATTCCCTCTCTACAGTCTTGCAAAAAGAGGTTTGCAGCTATTTTACCTTCTTTGCTTTCACATGATAACTTTGTGGGAGCAAAGGATTGATATCTTGCCCAAATACTGGCATTCTGGAGAGATTCAGGGCTCACTTCAATGAAGAAAGTATGTTGTAACAGTGGGAACCAAACTGAGTAAAACATTTTAAAGACTCTTATTTAATTTAGTGCGGGTATTCTTTTTGATGTTTGTGAACATTTAAATAAAAAAAATTAGATGTAAAATCATTTAGAATCTCAAAGGCATTGATTGTTGCTTTTTGGATTTGAAACCAAGTATTTAATCCCTACACATAGCACAGTTTACAAAAGAAAGAGAAAAAAAAAAGGAAAAAAGTCAAAGGGGAAAGTGTCTGAATGGTGCTTCCAAATCTCTTCCGTGTTTTTTTGTCACTGGTAGAACTGCTACTCACAAAAGTAACAGTAATGCAAGTGGATTATTTGAAAATAAATTAATTAATTTCCTGTGTTCAGCGTAAGTATCAGTTTAGGAGCAATAGGAAGATTCAGTAGTTTAAGACCATGATTTTCTAGTGGGTGAAAACTATATTGTTAGCTAATAAAGGAGCAATATCATGGTGTTGTTATTGTTGGCTGCTACAGAATGTGCAAATAAAGAAGAAATAATAAAGCATATAATCAAGCAAGAATATAGAATGTTTTTTCCTCTAGACTAATCAATATGAACATACACATCAAAAACCTGACTTCCTTAACCAGTTTCTTCAAATGTAATTTTTTTTTTTAATAATAAATTTGACAATATATGATAGGAACCTCGAGTACTACTTTAATTAAAAAGTAATATTTATAGTATATATGTGACATAGTATTCAGATTAAATATTTTAAATATTTATGTAAATATTAATATAGAAGTTATTTTATATATTATTGTCTCATGATTACCAGCTAAACAGGCTTAAAATAATTCATCAAATTATATTCAGATCTTGTATGATTATTGTCTTAATATTTCTTCTCTTTGCAGGCTAACTTGGCAAAACAGGAAGGCCGCTTGAAGGTAGCTAATGCGGAATTAGCAGAGGCTCAGGCGGTTTTAGATGAAAAACAAGCTGAATTGGATAAAGTGCAAGCAAAGTTTGATGCAGCAATGAAGGAGAAAATGGTGAGATAAGTCTTTTAGTTTTATGAAAAATGCTTCCACACAATGGTGTTATGTAATCATGAATTGATACAAACACGCATTTAGGGCCTGCTGCCTTGAATGACATGGATGAGTTTCAGGTATAAAAAGAAGATATTTAAATCTGTGGTCCCTCATATTTCTTTCTTTCTGTGAAAAGGAACCTGTTAGACAATAGGTGCACTTAGAGTTCTCAAGAGTGATTTTCAAATAAATAAAAGTCATAATAAACACAATAGGATGAAAAAATAGAACTTTTTTTTTGCATTCTTTTATTAAATTATGTAAGATATCTTTTTAATCTTAGGACTTGCTGAATGATGCAGAAACATGTAGAAGAAAGATGCAAGCAGCCTCTACACTTATAGATGGACTAAGTGGAGAGAGAGTTAGGTGGACTCAGCAAAGTAAAGAATTTAAATCTCAAATTAACAGGTATGAAATTCATCAGAGAAAAAAAAAACCAACCAACAAACCCAAAACAACAAAAAACCTCACAACAAACCAAAAACCCAAACAAAACAACACAAAGTATGTGTAAAACCTGGATAGCTAGTAAGCAATTTAGTAGCTTTAGTAGTTCTTTTTCCTGCTGGAGATCTTTTTATAGTAAGACAATTAAGTGAACTATCCTAAAATGTGGATTTTCCTCCTGTAAGTGAATTCCTGAGTGTTTCTTGCTTGTATTTAAGTTCAGACTAATACTTCTGCTTTTGGGATTTATTTCCAAAGGGATTATTTCCAATGCAGTTCTATGCCTCTATTACAGCTTTTCCTGACCCCCTTAACACTACACCTTGTTCCAATGTTACTTGGGAATGAGAAACCTTCAGATAGGCAGGAGGTAGAGATGATCTAAGCCTGACTCTGGGAAGGAAAAAGGAAGAATTCCTAGCTTAATACAGGATAGTTTGATATTAGTTATGGCATATTTAAGTAAAAGGAACCCTAGCGATCAGACAGTAACTTTTATCCTATAGTCTGTGTTGAAACATGTGGGACAGTACGTCTTACTCTAAGAAACTTGGAAACTTGAAAGTCTCCATTTTGTTGCTATCCAAATGACAACATGTTGAGCAGTGTAGGAGCTAGAGGTTCTCGCTGATTAGAAAATAGGAATGCTGTCAAAATGGTTGTTAGAGGTAAAGAGCCTGAAAGTTTAGACTCAGCTTCCATGGAATGCTTCTGTTTCCATAAATTTCCTATAGAGAAATTTTACATGTCCATTGAGGTCTGCTCATTCCAAGAGAATTAAGCTTGTAATGTTTGATAAAAATTGTATTGCAGACACATTTTTAAGAAATAAACCGATTTCTTGCTTCAGTTATGAATGAAGGAATAATTGTCATCGAGGCTTTATTATGTTGTAGGGTTGAATATAATGTTTTCGTATTATACTACTCCTACGTTTTGCCAAAAAAAAAAAAAAAATTATGAAACATAAAGAAACTATTTGTTGTTCTCAAAGAGCAACAGTTCCCTCCTTGAATTGTCTTCAGAATAGAAATCTTGTGTTTCAAAAGCTGGTTGTCTAAATCTATAGAAATTGGAATTGTATATCACCTTTTAATTATTATTTTATTCCTTTTCTAGACTTGTGGGAGATGTACTGCTCTGCACAGGTTTTCTTTCGTACTGTGGACCTTTTAATCAAAACTTCAGAGATTTTTTGCTTAAAGATTTATGGGAAACTGAGATGAGAGCCCATAAAATCCCCTTTACTGAAAATTTGAACCTGATTTCTATGCTTGTAGATCCGCCAACAGTAAGTTCTTGGTGCTGGATGGGTTTCGTTTCAATGTCAATTAATATATTCTGTGACTCTTACCTAGCATTATGCTTGCTTAGAAAGGATCTATAATCCCCACTATTGCTGTGCAGGATAGTTCTGTGGTTTCCTAACGTTCTTGGCAATTCCCACTAAAGATCTGAGTGCCGAGCAATGTTCGGATACTTAAAAAAATTATGTATTATAAACAAATGACATACAATTAGACAAATGCTAGTATGATAATGCACTTTCAAGTATCTGTAGATATATACCAAAACAGTGGGTTTGGTTGTTAGCTTTTTCAGGTTCTGTCAATATTATCTGAGTCTGGTTTCAAAAATAAATTTCATATCAAAAAGACATTTTAAAAAGAATGCATGAAGTCTTTTCATTCAACATGAATGAAGGAGAAATCAAACAGAGAACAATGCCAGTGTCCTTCAGTAAATATTAAGCTCCAAAAGCTCTTTTAGCCTGTTTTTCTCTTAATTGATCCCAATTTTTAATTTGGCTGTCCGACTGCCTTTCGACTTTCTTACACTTTTAAATTTTTATTTTTTTTTCATTCTATATAGTTAAATACATCAATAAAAATAAAATCCTGGAAATATTTTTCCTTCTGCATTAATCATTTTTCAGCAGGTTCAGATATGTATCCCTTTTGGCTTGATGTCCCCATTATTTCTTAGAACAATCGTAATTGAAGGATAAAGCAGTGACATTTTATTCCAAACTAGTGTCTTTTTTTGTTGTTGTTTTGTTTTGTATTCTCCAGATTAGTGAGTGGAATCTTCAAGGGCTGCCTGGAGATGATTTCTCAATTCAGAATGGTATCATTGTCACTAAAGCAGCTAGATACCCACTTTTGGTAGACCCACAATCTCAAGGAAAAACATGGATTAAAAAGAAAGAAGAGGATAACGACTTACTGGTGAGCAGTGTTTTAAAGGAATAATGTGCTGGTTTATATTCCTTCAAATATCATTGCTTTAGGTTGTGTCTGCTTTGGAGTCAGTGTAGCTATCATACACACATATCTGAGAACTTTAACTTGTGTGGAGACTGACGATAATGTGGATGCATCAGCAGGGAACTTTACAAGAGTCTTTGAATCCCATTTAAGGACTAGGAAAGGATTATATAATTGTAAATATTGGAATACTGGTATGAAAACTACCAAAAAGTATGAAAGAGAGGGAGGTAGCCTTATGTTCAAAATTGGTATGTTCCCTATACACAGAGAGCTCTCTTATAGCTTAAGCCAATGAGGTTAAATGTCTTCTCATGAACTATAATGCAAAGACATTCACGTGACATGTAATTTGCATCACAAAAGAATTTTTCACAAATTAGAGTAGCAGGGGAAAAGGAACCTACATTTTAAAACCCTGCAAAATCTCATATGTCCTCCTGAATCTCAATAAATTTTCAGCATTTTAGGAATTCTAAATTTTGAAGATTTTAAATCTTGGAGTAAAGTGAATGTGAAGTTCTTGCTTAAAATTCTATCATTAATAAAGCAAACTGTCAGAACCACAGAAAAGTTGAGGTTGGAAGGGATCTCTGAAAATCTGGTGCAGCATCCTTGCTCAGAGCAGGATCTACTAAAGCAGGTTGCCCAGGACTGTGTCCAGTCGAGTTTTGAATACCTCCAGTGATGGGCACTTCACCACCTCTCTGGGCAGCCACCACCAGCCGTGTTCACCCACCATCACAGTGAAGTTGTGGGGGTTTTTTTCTTATGTTTAAATTGAATTATCTGTATTTCAATGTGTGCTCATTGCATCTTGTCCTGTTACTGTGTGCCAGCAAGAGGGCTTTGTCTCCCTATTCTTCATTCTCACCCACCAGATATTTATGTACGTAGGTAAATACCCTTGTGAGCCTTCTTGATGCTAAGTAATCCCAGCTCTCATCTTTCCTCATATGTCAAGTGTTCCAATCCCTTAATAATCTTGGTGGTCCTTTGCTGGACTCACTTCAGTGCCTCTCTTACACTGGCGAGCCCAGAAATAGGCTGAGGACTCAAGATATGTGTCTCCAGTACTGAGCAGAGGGAAAGGATTGCCCTCCTCAACATCCTGGTAATATTTCTCCTAATGCAGCCCAGAATGCTGTTGGCCTTTGCCACAAAGGCAGATTGCTAGCCCATGCTCATCTTGTCCACTGGGACCCCAAAATCCTGCTCTGCAAAGCTGTTTTCCAGTAGAATGGCCCTATTTCATGCATGCAGAGAAAATCTTGAAAATAATATAAGAACTTTCTGAAAGTCAGAATCTAGGAAGCAGACAGGTTAATGTTTTACTTATTTACGTATGTTTTTAATGATTTCATACATTATGAATTCCATTTAATGGTATTTCTGACCTCCGGGTTCATAATATTGTAACAGCAATTAATTTGTTACACTGAGTTCAGATTTCTAGAAAGAATTTCACAGAACTTCAAAGCTAAAATTAGAAAACTTAGTCCTCAGGACATAGAACAGAAAATTGAAAGTTGGCTGTCTTTGTTTTCAAAAATCTATGTAACACCTTCAATTCCCAATATAATACCAATAACAGTATTATTGGTGTTACAGAGAGTATATTATAACTCTCATAATTAAGTTTCTTAGATTCTGTTACAACCAGTCTTCAAATTCAACTTTTTATGGTACTTTTCATTCTATACACAAGCAGTATTTCTGCATAAATTGCTGCATGGTCAACATTTATTACTTCATTTGAAATGCAACTAACAAAAACAATTTAAAAAGTTTTAATTGTTATATCTGTGGTTTTCATGTAAGACTTTGAAGAAAAATTTTTGTCCTTACACTAATTTATAATTTACTTTTGAGGTAACAACTTTGAATGACAAGTATTTCCGTACACACCTAGAAGATAGTCTTTCACTGGGACGATCACTCGTGATTGAAAATATAGGTGAAGAGCTGGATCCAGTCCTTGATAATATATTAGAAAAGAATTTCATGAAATCTGGAACTTCTTTTAAGGTTAGTAATCAGACAAAAGACTTGGAATAAGTAGTTTGCTTTGTGATGAATGATATTCTTTTATCCTTTTATCCAAACCTCTGGTGAATCAGGTAAATTTTGTATTCAGTAGAGTAGTTTGAAGAATCAAACTGAAGTAACAAAATATAGGAGACAGAATCTCAGCTGAGCAGTAAGTTCATGAGTCTAAAGTTGAATTTAACTAATGAAGTTGCTACTGAAGTTTCCAAACTGTAAAGTGTTATGTTTATTATATTAAATGCATACAATACTTTCTTTTGATTTTTGAGCAATTTCATTTTACAGCCTTTAAAAGAATTAATAGAATTGGAAGTATCTCTCTCTTCCTAGTGTTGAGCACTGATTGTAGCAACTGCAGAATCTTTACTCTGGAGTAGAGCTGTTTTCTGATGGAACAAGCCAAAAAGCACAAAGCTTTATTTATAATATTAAGTATATTCAAAATCTTGAAAAATCATGAGTCTTTCTGACCTTCATTAGATAAAGAAATCAATCCCAAATTTTAAAAACACCTCTCCTTCAAACATCCTGAAATAAAATGACTGCGCATGCTGTATATTTCTGTATGTATTTTTCTCAAATAACCTAAATTAACTGGCTGGGATATGAAGAACATGGGAGACCAGATTGTTGATGATAACGAAAATAAAATAATTACTGGTTTTGTGGAGCAAACAACAGAGTAGTTTGGTCCTATTTCTTCTTAAGCACAGTGTTTGAAATGGGCTTGGAGAGTCATACACAGTGATCAGATTTCCTTCTGCACATGCACCTTTCAAGTTAGACTACTGATTTAGAATATCTTAGCTTCTATTAAAAAAAAAAAATCTGTGGAAAACTCTAAATAAATTCATAGTTCCTTTAGAAAGATTCTTTAAGGTCTGTTTAGTTTTCATAAACAAAAAATAGTTGATAACAATTTATGTTCCATTGTTGGAGCGAATATTACTTTTTTTTTTAGAACAGTAATTTCTCCAAACATATGTAGTTTTTACCATCTTCCTTTGAGGCATGATTAGAATCACAAAACTTAAACCAAATAGTTCTGAAGACATGAACTAGAACCCACAGTGGAGATAATCCCTATATTTATCTGGGGTGGAATGCTACTTTTATAATGTACCCTAACTTTACCTTTGGTCACTGATTGTTATTTTCATGACAAATTTGAATTGTGAAATGCACTTCCTCTCTTTGGCATTTCAGATAATGTATATTTTTATCTGGTCAATATTATTTAGTCAAATAAACCTCATTTTCTTCTGCTTAATACTATTCTAACTTACTCCACAGGTGAAAGTTGGTGATAAGGAAGTAGATATTATGAATTCATTTAGACTGTACATTACTACAAAGCTACCCAATCCTGCTTTCACACCTGAAATTAATGCAAAAACATCTATTATTGATTTTACTGTTACAATGAAAGGACTTGAGAATCAGTTACTCAGAAGAGTAGTCCTTACTGAAAAACAGGTAACCTAATAGAACATACAAACCATAGTGATGCTGTTGTTTGGTTTTTTTTAATTATTTAACTGTTGAAAAAGAAATGTTCAAATGGAAAAAAGACATCAATCATTTTCTAAAGCTTTATTCAGAGTCAGTATACAAATTTCCAAATAACAAAAATACATCTAGAGGATCTTCCACATATGATTGTCAGGATAGCATGAACAGTTAAGTAAAAGCATTTGGCATTGATAAGATACCTCATAAGATACTGAATAAAGACTGCTTAAAAAAAAAAAAAAAGGATGTTATAAAAACATGTTTTAGACACCTGAAAAAGTAAAATGTCTGTTTCATGGCTGCATCCAACTCTTCACCTGTATCTTCAATCAAATTTCATGAACTTGGAAAATCAGCAATTGAATTTTAAGTATGACTCCTAGATACAGACTATAAAATGTCATGTCATTTTCTCGTTTTTTAATAACAGGAACTAGAGGCAGAACGAATTGCACTCATGGAAGGTGTAACTTCAAATAAGAGGAAGATGAAAGAACTGGAAGACAATCTCCTGTACAAACTAAGTGCAACCAAAGGTTCTGTATCAAAGGATTAAGAAATTAGACAGATTAAACTGACTCACATAAGAACCTTTCCATGCAGAAATTTATTTATACATCTCAGATACAATAGGAGAACATAGAATCATAGAATCATAGAACAGTTAGGGTTGGAAAGGACCTTAAGATCATCTAGTTCCAACCCCCCTGCCATGAGCAGGGACACCACACACTAAACTATGTTGCCCAAGGCTCTGTCCAGCCTGGCCTTAAACTCCTCCACGGTTGGAGCATTCACAATTTCCTTGGGCAACCTATTCCAGTGCCTCACCACCCTCACAGTAAAGAACTTCTTCCTTATATCTAACCTAAACTTCCCCTGTTTAAGTTTAAATCCATTACCCCTTGTCCTACCACTAGAGTCCCTAATGAAGAGTCCCTGCCCAGCATCCTTGTAGGCCCCCTTCAGATATTGGAAGGCTGCTATGAGGTCTACATCCTATGGTAGAAATTAGAAGTATGATGATTTACTGGAGTGTGAGGGATTTGATACTATAGAATGCCACTATATACAACCGTGTTTACAACCATAAGTATTTTTGACGCCTAAACAAGTTTTGTCAAAGAAATCAATTTCTTGAGAGCTTCCTGCCGCTCAAATGAGATAAAAGCATCTGATCACTGGCAAATCCTTAACCTATTGAAAATGCAAGTTAAAATGGGCTAGTTTATATGGTGTTGAAAGTCTTTTGTAGTATATTAGGAACCTGCAGATGATCAATTATTATGTCTTTGGTGGAAACAGAAGGTGGCAACTTCTAGCACATCAATCAGTAAGTACTTGAGATGCGTGAATACTTTTGTGTGACCATTGCCTTTAGGACCCTAAGTCTTTTTGACTGTGAGCGTACCAATCAATAGTCTTTAAAATAATGGAAGTACTGTGTACGAATATGTTATGTGCATAAGAAAGCTGACTTCTCCAGTACATGCTGCAAAGCTGGTGGTATAGATACATTCATATTGACATAGGTAGAATGCATTTGTTTAGCATGTTGAATGTAAAAATAATTTTAGTATTGCATATCCTGTTTGGTCTCCATTTTAAAAGATTTCTGCTATTCAGTAAATCATTTCCATTTATTATAAATAATTTCTGTAATTTAGCCTTTTGATTTTTACATATATGAAGTAAAAAAGTTGTTATTAGAATGCCCTAAATATCAAATATTTTACTTCTTAGGTTCACTAGTTGATGATGAATCCTTGATTGGTGTTCTGCAAACAACTAAGCTAACAGCTGCTGAAGTAGCTGAAAAGTTGGCTGTGGCAGCAGAAACTGAAGTGAAGATTAACACTGCTCAGGAGGAATATCGACCTGCTGCTACACGTGGAAGCATTCTTTATTTTCTTATTACAGCAATGAGCATGGTCAATAATATGTATCAGACTTCACTGGCTCAGTTCTTGAAGTTATTTGATCAATCCATGGCCAAGTAGGAAGACACAGATTTTTCTACAATCCACATATTTGTCTTCCCAATGTATTTGCTGTTATTAACATGCTTTGTTTGTGCTTCATTTCCATTATTCAGATCTGGGAAGTCTCCTGTACCTCAGAAAAGAGTCTCGAATATTATTGAGTATCTTACCTTTGAAATTCACTCATATTCTGTTAGAGGCTTGTATAAAAATCACAAATTCCTCTTTACCCTTTTAATGACATTAAAAATTGATCTTGAGAGAGAATATGTGAAAACCAAAGAGTTCCATACATTCATTAAAGGTAAGTATGATTTTTTTGGCTACATGGTTTTTACCGATAGTTCTGTGGGAGCTACCTCTGTCCTTATCCCTGCTGTGGTCCAGTGAAGTTAGATGCCTATCTCTGTTCTACCTCCACCATTTAACCATGCTGTGTTCTATCCTGAGATCAAGATCATAGTTCTGCTTCTTTCCATCATTTTGTTTAATAATTATATATTTTTGTATTATCTGTGTATCCTTATTTATATAAATTAGGTGTATTCTTGCTCCTTTGCTTCACTGTTGAATAAAGTTCTCTTCTAAGTTGCCAGAACAACTCTATGTAAAGTCCAGAAAGTGATAGAGTTTTTTCTTAGTTTCAGCTTGAGCTTTCTTTGACTTCTGCCAAGCAGCTAATGTTGACTTTTAGAGAACGTAATGTGTTTCGGTGGCCCAAATGGCCATGTCTGTCTCCTCTGTACTCTGTGACTTTCTGCCTCTGATAAAAAATGTGATTGGGTTTACTTATTCAGAGGTGCATATAAAACCTGCTTGAATTTTACAGTCCTCAAATGAATCTTGCAAACGTCTAATGTCAAAGTAATGAACCTAGATTTGAAGATCATTATCTGCCTTTAATGAATAAAATGGAAAGGAAACAAGATTAAATTCACATTCTGTTTTGCTTTCCACTTAGAATTAATGATATTATCCTTGAGAATGTTATCCCGCTCCCAATATACCGCTGATGTCTGGCAGGGAATACTTGAAAATGCTTTGAAAATGAACTGTCTGCTTTAATAAAGCATTAGACAAGTAACCATATTCTTGGCTTCTCAGCTTATGGACTCTTGTTTTGCCAAAGGAGAAAGTGGTCATTTACCCCTTTTTAACTAATAAGAATCTGTAATAAAATACAGGAGTACTTTTAGCAATTTTTGTCTAGAATGTGTGATTGCAGTTTCCTGTCCAGCTTTACCACAGTTGACTTGATAGTGATAAATACTTCTGGTGTATACTTTTCTGATGTATCAAATGACACCAAAGTAACAGATTTTCAGTAATTATTCATGGGATATTAAATCAGATCAGGAAGTGGGCAGAAGACAAAATTGTCCTTGACACTTAAATGTCTTATAAAATTAATGAATTTTTCAATTTTCCTCCTTGGATAAGCAATTCTTGATGCAAAACAAATGCCATGTTACCAAACATCACCAGGCAGCTGAAGAAAGGATTTATTTAAAAATTAAATCTCTCTTCCTCTTCTTTCCATTCCTTTTGCAGGAGACCTTTCACAATTTATCATCAGCCATATTATCAGGGGATGTCTCATTGAAATAAGCATTTCTATTTGAAATGCAAAAGTCTCTGGAGTCTCAGGAGATTGTAAACTCTAAATCTTTTCTTCTGCTAAAGTACCTAAATTGAATTTTATTCTATTTACTGTATTCCATTAAGGCAAAACACTAGGCCCTTCCTGAATATTTTAATGCTACACCTTGAAGGTAATATCAAGTCAGCAAAACAGAGAAAGTAGGTCACAAAATTATAGGAAAAGAGCTTCCCACAATGCTGCCATGTAATTTTTATTAGAAGTTTAGAAAAAGAAACAAAATCCAAAAGATATGAGAAAATCTAAGGAGTTCTTTGGTGATTTTGTAGGTATCTTGACACTGAGGCTGTGTACCAGTAGGAAGTGAGGGAGTGGCACAAGTGAAGTGTATGATCTTCTCTAACAGAAATTATATTTTATGAAGAAAATCTGTAAATATTAGAAAGCGTGTTACAGAGGAATTGCAAAACGTCTTTGGCTTTGTTGACTTAAATAAAAGCCAGAAATATTGTCACGTATGCTATTTAGTGAGCAATTAATGGTTATGTCTTAAAAATAAGAATCCTTCTTGGCTAAAGTGATTGTGATTCTCTCTCAAAATTCAACAATTTTCAGGAATATTTCTGTTGACCTAGTGTATTAAATTTGCAAAAGATGTGATTCTAGAATAGGTTATCATTTTAATTACAGACCTGTCAGCCTGACATCGGTGCCAGGGAAGGTCATGGAGCAGATCATCCTGAATGTGATCACACAGCATGGGAATACCAGGGGATCAGGCCCAGGCAGCATGGGTTCATGAAAGGCAGGTCCTGCTTGGCCAACCTGATCTCCTTCTATGACATGATGACCCGCCTGGTTGATGGGGGAAAGGCTGTAGACATTGTCTACTTGGACTTTAGTAAAGCATTCAACACTCTCTCCCACAGCATTTTCCTGGAGAAATTGGCTGCTCAGGGCCCAAATAGGTGTATTCTTCACTGGGTTAAAAACCAACTGGATGGTAGAGCCCAAAGAGTGGTGGTAAATGGTGTCACATCTAGTTGGTGACCGGTCAGTAGTGATGTCCCCAAGGGTTTCATATTGGGGCCAATGTGTTTAATATCTTTATTGACTATCTGGATGAGGGGATTGGGTACACACTCAGTAAATGTCAGATACCAAGTTGGGTAGAAGCACTGATCTGCTGGAGGTAGGAAGGCTACAGAGGGATCTGGGCAGGCTGGGTTGATGAGCCATGGTGAAAGATATGAAGTTCAAGAAGGCAAAGAGACAGGTCTTGCACTTGGGCCACAGCAACCTCATGTAATGCTACAGGCTTTGGGAAGAGTGGAAAGCTGCCCAGCAGAAAAAGAACCTGGGGGTGCTGATTGGTGGCTGCTGAACATGAGCCAGCTTGTGCCCAGGCGGCCAAGGCCAACAGCATTTGGATTTGTACATAGGAACTTCACAGACTTCAGCAAGAGTCTCCCCGTTAACTGGCCCTTCAGCAGTTCATGAAAACATTCACATCATATACTAATCATATCTAATTCTGTTTCTTGGTCCTCCACATATGTACATAGCTAGATAGGAAAGTATTGCATGTATTATTCTGGATGCTGGAACTTTCACATTTGCCTATGAATGGCAAAATAAAAACTAGTAAAAGGAAAGGCTTTTTTTAGGCACTGTATTTTTAACTCATTAACATAACAAATGAATAACCGTAAGAACTTAGCAGGATTTATCAAAAAATTAAGGAAATATATTAATCGAAAGAATATCAGTGATTCTATGGTTCTGTTACAACAAGAAACACATTTTTTACACTTTTGTAATTCTCATTCTTCATTGAATAAGTCTGCCTCAAAAAATTAAGGTTTAAAATTTTTCCCAAAAGCAAAAGCTTCCCTAAGATCTGTTTACTGTCTGCTCATTGGAACTTCTGCTTTCTTTTGATGTTAATTGTTCGCATTGGCATACTAATGTCCAGATTCAGCAAAGTGATTCTTGTGTTTCTATTTAAGGATACTCAAGTAGCTAGAGCAGAGATTCTGTTTTGAGAAAATCATCACTGATGAAAGAATGAAATCCTTGCATCCTGGAAGCATGCAGGAGAACATTTCTTTCCCTGTAAAGTCAATATTCATTATAACAGTGAATTAATGATCTTAGTTGTGGAGACCCTCTAGTTTTCCCAAGAAGTGCCATTAATTAATTTGTGGAGGAGTGGGAAGAGGCAACTGCAACAAGAAGGAAATTGTGATAAAATGTTAATTATAAAAAATAGTTAAAAGTTAATCTGTTTAAAATTGAATTTCCTCTTATCCCAGAGGTCCTTCTTTGAATTTCCTCTTCAGTTACATATCAGCAGATGTGAAATGTGTATTATGTAAGGCCAGATAGCCATTATATATGCTATTTAAAATTGTTTATGCTTGATAGGCTTACTAGGATTGACTGATTCCATCAGTCCAGAGTTTCTTTCTTCTCTTCTTGTGAACATATGAAAAGGAAAAGAGATTATTAAAGAATTTCCCATACTTCAAATATAATCAGTATCATTGTATGAACTTATAACAACAAACTATATGGAGCACATGATCTAAGGTGAGGGTCTGAGAGAAATGGGCTTACTCAGCTTGGCAAACAGAAGACTTAGGGGAGACCCAGTAGTAGTCTTCCATCACCTATGAGAAGGCCATTAAGAATACAGAGCCTGGCTCTTTAGTGATGCATAAGAAGATGAGAGACAACAGAAATAAACTGGAAAAAAGAGAGATTCAGAGTTGGATGTAAAGTTTGGGGTTTTTTCATTATCAGGACAAACAAACTTTAGAACACATTGTTAGACAGTCTCCATCCTTGGAGGTTTTTAAGATCAGACAGGGTATAGACCTGATTTTATCTCAGCTGACCCTGCTTTGAACAGATTGGACTAGAGACCTCCTGAGGTCTGTTCCAGACTAAATTATGATCTTATGAAATAAATGCAAAGTACACAGGAGTGCAATTAGCACCCCAGTGAAAATTACATGGGGCAGAAAACATAATTTAAAAAGAAATTCCAAATATATCTTGACCCCTGGAATGCCATGTGTATTTCATTAGAATGTTTGCATCTACAGGAGGTGCAGCACTGGATCTACAGGCCTGCCCACCCAAACCATTCCACTGGATTCTTGACATGACGTGGCTAAACCTAGTGGAATTGAGCAAACTTCCACAGTTTGCAGAAATTTTGGATCAGGTGATACTTATTAATTGTTTTTTTAATGTTAATAACCAGTTTCCCAATCATAACTGTGTTCCTATGTTTTACATTTGGAATACACAAGAGATGTAGTTAAGAACAAAGCCACAGAATACAGCATAGAAGCATAGAAATCAGCAGCTAGGTAGCATGAATGGAGATATATTTATTTGCTCTGAGTTTTTTATATATTTTTTTGTACTTTGTATTATAGCCTTTGAGGTAAGAAAAAGAAGAGAACAGAAGCAAAGAACTGGTAAAAAAGGAAGTCATTGAAAGAGAGACAAATAAGGAGAAAGGATTAAAAAGTAGAGGTATCAAAAAGGCTCAGATAGTTAATCTATGAGTGTCAGGTTTTAAGTTACAATTCTTTATTTCTTGAGCCTGGTAGATTTGTTTGCTGCTTGTTTTTAAATATACATTTCCATTCCAAGGTTAACTTGTTATTCAGATATGATGAGCTAGCTGTAAAAATACTATTTATTGAGACATATGAACTTATATGCACATAAGCTTGTGACATGTTTACTTTAGTAAAATTCTTTCTTTTTTAGTTTGGTTAAAACATTCCCTAAACGTTTCTCTTTCTGTACCTCCTAAGCACTCCTTGTTATTCCGGCTGATAGCCAGGACACTAAGTTCTTCTTGCTGTTACAGCATTGGTAATCCAAGTTCATTTTGTGATGGCGTTTAGTGCCTTGAAGGCTAGCAGAGATTTTATCTAATTTTTGTACCTGGAAGTGGTCATGGCTGATTCCTAACTCTGCATCAAGGCAAGATCTGGATACATACCAGCTGATTTCTTCCAGGTTTTAGTTTCTGGGCATATCAAAACAGGATATTAACTCAGTAAAAAGTTGAAGGAATTTTAGTTAGGTCTTCATATGGATTGTTAGGGCACCAGAACAAAAAATGCATGCCACATCACACTTGCTAACACTGTTTTAATTTAGCTAATACTGTTGAAATTTAGCTGTGGAGTTATGAATTATGTATTTTCTTATTAATTTGTAAATTGTAATGGTTCTGTTATAGGACTTTTCTAAAATCAGTGCAAACAAAATTTTAGACTCCAAAATACACAGGTGACCATGTTACCCCAAAAGGCCTCCTTTTTAACTAACCTTTAGCACTAACTTAAAATTGCCAAGTATTTACAAGTTGAAAAGTGACAATGAGAGGATTTAGTAACATGGAGAGATGAAATCTGGGTGGGTGCCATCTAAGACATCAATTAAAAATGCATATATGGAACTAATATCTTTTTAAATACTTACCTGCATCTATTAGATATGCTTTTCTGTTTGGATCATCATATTAAATACCACTGGATCATTATTCACTTAGAAACAAACAGAAAATTATTTGAAGTAAGAAAAAGAAAGCTTGAAAATTATATGCTTAGTTCTCAAGATGTTGCCTGTGTTTTTCTTTTTTTCTTGCCAGTTACAATTCTTTTTGTCCTCTAAAAAGTAATTCCTCCAGGCCCAGATGCCTAATTTAACTTAATAAAGACATATTCCTCTTTAAACATTTGGATGACCCTGTTCCTTTTCACACTGTTACTACTTCCACTTGTGATTGAGAGACAGTACAAAGAAATACATAATGAAAGCTTAATGATTTTACTGAGTCAGCTGAAGTCCCCTTAGCTCAGTAACCTATCTCTGGCTGTGGTCTAGGTTTGAGAAGGTAACTCTTCTGAATACTCTTCTAGCATGTGCTCAGGTTGGTAACTGTTGATATAGAACTGAGCTATTTGCTTATAAGGTTTTTTTCTCAGACATGGATTATAGTTCAGAGAGGGATATTTGGTGTTTATTGATCTCTCTGAATTTCATTATAGCAAACACGTGGTTGTAATGTGTATGTTCATTTCTCACTCATCTCCCAGTCCATGATTAGTGTAGGTTGTTCTGAAACTACTATTTGAAACCAATTCAGTCAACTGGACAGAGCACCTTGGTTTATAACATGCATATGGAACTGTATGTCAGAACAGATGGTATCAGTGTGCTCCTTGTTCTCTTTCTAGTGATCTGAGAACATTGTGGTAGCTGACTTCTCAGTCACTGCATTAGAGGCTCAACTGCATAGCAATTTTTCACTATGTTCTGTCCACCTGTATCCTTGTCCTATTAGGTCCTTGCTTTTGCAAGATGCCTGAATAATAATCATATTTATGGTCAGATTTATTCTTTCATGAGTGAAAAACATACTAGAGTCTCTTATTTTCATTTGTGATTCTTTGGCTGGCTGGACTGCACAGAGACAGATTTTTCTGTTCCTCTTAGTACTTTGTGATCAGAACTAATGAGTTAATCACTGTATGATCTTCTTGTAGTATAGAATCTTTCTGCTAATTACTGATTTTTCTTAAGTAGCTGCATGTGTTCAGGAGGTGAATCAGTGGATAACTGATTAGCTTAAGAGCCTACATCTTAATACTAAAATTTCTATTTTAAATACTTTAATAGCAATTCACATGACATGTCTTAAGTGCTATAGACTCTTATTAGAGTCACTTAAATGCTGTAGACTGTTATTTTTAAGATATTCTAATATAATAACAGACTCATTAAAATGCACATTTACAAGGGGATTTTACTACAGCTGAAATATATTTATATGTGTTTTAATGTGAGAAATTTAGATATCCTCTAATGAGAAGCGGTGGAAAAGTTGGTTTGATAAAGATGCTCCTGAGGAAGAAATTATACCTGATGGATATAACGATTCACTTGATACCTTCCGCAAGCTTTTACTCGTCAGGTGAGCATCTTCAGAAATTTGGGAAATAACATACATGGTTACATCACATGTCTTGGCCTATCAGTGTGCTATTATCGTAATAGGGTAATTTTAATTAATTTCTGGGTGACTTGAAATAGTATTTGATTCACACACATGAAATATGATTTAATTCACTCACTTCAGAGATGTCCTTTGAAGAGTCTAAAAAAATTATTTCAGGGAAATATTTATAGCTTTGCTTCTATGTCATGGCAAATGGAAACTGGGAATCACATTGCAGCCTTCTCCAAAAGGTCACTGAAAAAGTAGAATCATTCTGATAGTTTTAAAAATTGTTTCATTTCTTCATTTCTTTTAAAATGAACTATTGTAAATAACTTTAAATATGTAATAATAATAATAAATTAAAAAAAGTGAAAATGCAAAGCAGGTATTCCAAAGCCCCATGTGAAAAGTGTGTGCTTGTACTGAATCAGCTAAGATCTCTGTGGCAGGGCTTGGCATAAAATGGATTTCCCCAAAGCACCATTAAGCTGCCTTATGCATGAGATCATATCTTATTATGTTCATTGTATACTTTCCAAGTGCTTCAAAAAGTAAATCAGAGGCCCTCCATAAAAAAAAAAACAGACCAAACCAGCAACATTAATTAGTAGACCAAGATTTTTCTTTGGAGCAGATTCAGTCTGTGCAGTAAAAAGGCTAGAATCTCATGGAAGAAGTACAATATTCTTATATGCTATACATCCTGAAGGGGGAGGGAAGCATCTAAGTCCTAAGCCTTTGAATAAAAAAGTAAAAATCAGTTTTGCCAATTCATATCTTTTATCCAAATGTAACAGTTTGGATATTTTTTTTCCCCATGGGAAAAAATAAAAGCTCACCCCCAACACAAATGCAATGCAAAAAAGTTAAGTCTGAACCCTAAAAGACTAATAAACCCAATGAAACATCTACAGAATTTTCCCAAAGGACAAAAAAAGTCTTGCACTTCCTTATTTCTGTTCTCAGATACAAAATCTGTGTTTAAAATGAGGAATGTCCCAGACTGATAAAGGTACCCAGAACAGAAAATCCCAGTGCAAATAGTTTACTTAAGGCAAAATTGTTAGCAACCGAAAGGTATTGAACAGTCATAAGTAGAGGGGAAGACTACCAGCTCTGTCTCTTGTTGTATCTGTAAAGACAAACCTACAAACATATATGTGAATTTGTATACACATATAAATGCATATTATGAAGCAAAAGTCTCTCATAAAAGTAGAATTTTTATTTAAGTCTGATCTTTGCAACAGGAAGAGGCAGTGAATTAGTATCCTGGTATATATTTTAATTTCTAGGTCTTGGTGTCCAGATCGAACCCTTTCCCAAGCCAGGAAATATATTGCAAATTCCTTGAATGAGAAATATACAGAACCATTCATTTTGAGTTTAGAAAAAACATGGGGAGAAAGTGACACACGGACACCTCTCATCTGTTTCTTGTCTATGGGATCTGACCCAAGTATGCAGATTGAATCCTTGGCTAGGAAGCTTAAATTAGGTATGTAAATAGTTATTCATTGCCATGTGTTAAGATACAGAACTGTAATGTAAGTAATTTCAGGTTCAGGTTTTGGGTTTTTTTACTGAAAAGTATTTCTTAAATTATATTGCACTATTGTTCCTAAGCTGTCATCTTAGAGATAAAATAATATTTTAAGTAAAAGATGGTATGCTGAGAATCATTCTGTGTGCATTTGCACAGTAATGTTTTCAGGGTTTTTTTCCTAAATTGTTATCGTCCTTCTCAGTGATGATTGTTTTAATCCCTATCTGTAAGACAATATTTACAAATTTTGCTTATTTGTTTGTTTTGTTGGGGTTTATTTTTGTTGCTGTTCTGGCATAGTGACATTACTGTTTTCTTGTTTTAACTCTTCACTGCTGATAATGTGAAAATCAGTAATCTGCTTACAAAAAAACTAACCAAAAATACTCACAAGATCAGCATTTGTATATTCTGGACTTTATGTCTGCATTATGTGGAAAGTTTGAAGAACTGTGCGTATGAACTGAGTTAGAAGTAGAAAAGTATGTTCCTATTATTATTCACTTTAAAATTTGTGAATATATTACAATTACACAATTTGCTTACTTACATGGCTTCATTATCTATATTTAAAGAAAAATCTGGGTTCATATTTCAAATGCTGTGGCTTCGTTAAAGTTTGGCACAATCTTTCACTTCTACAAACACTGTAAATATTGTGGATGTATAAATCAATATTATTTTACAAAGATACAGTGTTTAGAAAAATTACACATAGTATAATATGATGGTAAAGAGATTCTAATGTCATATATCTTTGCATTAAAAATATATGAAAGTATATAATATATATTTTTACATTAAAAAACATTTATTTTTGCATTAAAATGTGCTTAATTGTGCTGTATTTATATCACTGTTTTTTTGGACTGAATTGGAATTCTTACTTTTTCTCAAGAATGTAAGTTCATTAATCATTTACTGTCAAATATGTTGTAGAATGTGTGACCATCTCTATGGGTCAAGGACAAGAAGTTCATGCACGCAAATTCATACAGATGTCAGTGCAACAGGTGGGAAAAACCACTGCAATATAAGTTGACTGCTTTAGTATTCTTTTACACATCAATCATAATGAGGAAATGCTTCATTAGACTTCTGCAAAGTCCTGTCCTCTTTATCTGATAGACAGAAGTGCTTCAGAGCCTTTCCAGGACTTCTTGTCTTTTGTGCAGAAAAAAGAAAAGGTCAGGCAGTACCAGTTCAGGGAATTCCAATTATATTACAGAATCATAGAATGGTTTGTGTTGGAAGGGACCTTTTAAGATCATTTAGTCCAACCCCCTTCCACAATGTCCAGGGACATCTTCAACTAGATCATTGTTTGCTACCTGTGAGATAGGTTCATTTGACAAGGGGGAAAAAAATCTTGTAAGATGATATTTATTCATTTGACTAGTGTAATATCTGCTTAATTTGTGGTTTTCTATTATGGACATATATGTATATGTATGTATATGTATGTATATGGCCTTTACTGCACACTTTCTAGATATTATTGTATAATCCAAGGTTCTCTTGGTTATGGAAGTTCTCTATATTGTAGCTATATTGTATCTCAGTAATGTCTGAATTCCTTCCAAATGTGACACCAGTACTGGAATATAGATGTACACCACTTCAGAAAAAGAGAAAAAAGAAATCCACTAGTAACAAATTCTGAACTAAATGCCTTGGTGGTGCACACATTTTACAGAGGGGGGGATATGCGAACATCAAATCTGAAAGAACAAAACAGAATTAATAAATATGAAGAAAAATCTCTGTGTTTTTTTTCCTTCCTCTGGCCATGAGTATATAATATGATTAGAACTGTTGCATTGTGTTACATGTAGAAAATTTTCAAAAAATGAGCCTGATTCATTTAGAAATATGATAAACTGATTAAAGATCTTCCTCAAAAAAAGTGGATCCCCATAAAAGAGAAAAAAACTTCCATAATTTAATATTTTTTAATATCCATCAGTTCACCATAAATATTTCAATTATATTTTGTCACCAAATGTTAGTTATTTTTAAATGAGCTAAAACAAAATTGCCAAAATGAAATTACAAGCAGTAATGAAATCCACACATCACTGTTTAGAACTGATTAAATAATGTCCCATTTTAATATCAGGCTTCTGATTTATCAGACTTCTAAAGGGATGCTACAAAAGCTGATGAGTTTAAACTCATAAGCAAAAATAGAGAAAGATAATAATAAAAATAGAGCTTTCATGCAATTTGAGAGTTGAATGAGATCAAAATTAATATACAGAGGTTGAATTTCATGCAAATACATTTATTTCAGATAAATTAATTGCAGTTAAAAAGTTTTAGAGTCTTGTTACCATCTCTTTACACTTAATTATTTTATTAAAAGTATGTTTTTAGAAAGATATATTCCTTAGATTTCGGCTATTACTTTTCCACTCATATTCTTTTGGATCTGATAGCAGGATTACTTAATACTGGTGTTTTGCTGGGTGAGGACAATAATTACTTCTTTTTGCCACTAGGTAGCACTGATACTTTACTTAGAATATTGGCTCTGGTTATGTTATTTTCATTGTGAACAATAGGATTTGAAAGTAACTTTTGCACTTTTCCTATTTGCTTTAACTGTGACAATATCAAATCAAATGATAACACATATCCAGGAGCAATCCAAAAGTAAAAATAAATAAATAAATTATATGCAAGACAAAATTTGATTCTAATATACACAGTTGGTTTTAGCATTATGAATAAGTTATTCTAAATTTTATATGGTAATTGTCTATATTCTTATTTAGGGAGGCTGGGTGTTGCTTCAGAATTGTCATCTTGGACTGGATTTCATGGATGAACTACTGGAGACACTTCTTACTGTTGAGATACAGAATGAGACGTTTCGAGTTTGGATAACTACTGAGCCACATCCTAAATTCCCAATTGCGCTTCTACAGGTTTGTTTAAATATTTCATTCCAGTACCTCAAGCCATCAAAATTATTCATATTAAGTTTGCAAATTGAAATTAAATAGATGGGGACAAAACCAAACTAAACCAAACCAAAAAACCCAACCCAACCCAAACCAAACAAAAAAAAAACCAAACCCAAAACAAAACAAAACAAAAAAAACAAGAAAAAGAAGAAAAAGTTAACTTACCTCACAATGCAAGTAACACTTTACATAGGAAGGTTACTTACTAGTAACTGAAAGTTCTCAAAGGTGCATTATATATGTGTGGGTTCACACTAATTCAGTACACAGAAACACTTGAATCAAAACTATCTCTTTTTCCCAACTCAGCCTTGTGAACAGAGTAATACCTGCAACTGTTCTTAGACTCTTCCAGATTTCCCTGTCTGAAATAAAGGATAAAGTTGACATAACATCTCAAAGAACACATTCCACTAAGAAGTAACCTGTTTTACTCTGGATAAATGGTAAATGGTTGTTCTGTTGATCTCAAGGAGACATTTTCATCAGTAACAGGAAAATTGTCTAAACTCTTACAAAGTACATTTAAGTCACTTATGATGATTTCTAGCTCTCTCACAGCGGATCATGATGCTAGTTAATATCTGGTGTAATCGCTGTGTGTTAACACTTCTGTGTTTATAGACCCCTTTCCTTTAACAAACAGTGGAAATCTCCTTAGTGGTTCTCATTCTCTCTAAGTAACAATAGATAACATATGTGATACCTAGGATGTGAAGGAAGGGAAGGGTTCCTTTCTCAAATGAATCTAGGAGACAGCCTTCAATATGAAATGTATGTCACCATGGAAAAGCACTGTGTATAGACAACTAGCTGTATGGACCTACATTCTCTTGTGTTTTCTCAACAGAAAATGAAATCATTCTGCATCTTCAAGGGATTTATGAATAGTGAGGTATTTAAACACGCAGTTTGCTAAGTGAGGCTAACGAACTGAGAGGATTGCTAGATGAATCTTCACTGCATTTATCTCAAAATACCTCATATCACACTGCCCATTAAATTATTAACACGTTCAGGGATTCCAGAATACTATTAACAGACAAGCCAAAGGCCAGCTCCTTCTCAGAAGAAAGGAGAGAATAATTTCCTCTTTTTTATATAGAACATGCAGCAAAACCTGAACAGGATATCTTGAAGTGTGGGAAGACTGGTTAGCAAGTGTTCCCGTTCAGTCCAAGAGTCTAGTGTTTTTGCAGAAGACTGGAGCTTATCTCTGAGACAGCATGTCTGGGCTCTGCAGCCCAGAAATAAGTTTGTGAGACTGAAGTTGAAAAGCCATTCCTTAAAAATAACTGAAGTTTTTTACCACAAGCAGGGAGATAGTAAAACTGCCATGTGAAATATCTATTCATGAGTGTCTTCCATTAAATGTCTGCCAGAAGTAGAAAGAGTTTAGAGCCATACTTGCATTCAGCCCATGGGCAGGCATTTACTGTCCTTTCAATGCATGCTACCATGTTACCCAAGCCAGCCAGCAAAGTATGTACTGTTGGAGCAGAAAAATACTTAGTTTTTGTTTGGGTTCCTCCAGCATTGGATGGTGTCTCAAGGAATAGAGATTCTGGTAAGGCTAGTCTGTGTCCTGTGAACATTACCCAGCACTAGAATGCAGTAGTACATAGTGGTAAGTAGTTACAACATTCTCTGACATAAAAACTTGTGCTAACTAGTGTTCTCCCAAATAATTTGCAGCTATGGTTTGGCAATTAAAATTTTGTAGCCAACTATTCCCATTAGGCAGTCCGCATGGAACTAAGGGGATGTATTCTAAGGGGCTGTGGCAGTTTACTACCACAAATGCTGATTCCATACCTGCTGACCAGAGTGCCTAGGAACATTCTCAGGTGAATATAATTAACTTGTGCAGACTTAGCCACAGAGTCCCAAGTAGCCACTGTGAACACTCTGATCTGAGGAGAGGTGAGACTTCATTGTACTTACTGTGAACTTTTCGGACCAGAAATACAACAGATTTCATCTGCTCTGGGTAGTTCTCTTCCATCATTCAGTCACTGAATTAGGGATAGAGAACCATATGATGCCTTCTGAAAAGCATGGCAACAGCTCCTAGGTTGTTGGCAAAAATTCTTAGATCTATGGACAAGTGTTCATGATGGTTCTGAACAATGTAAACTGAAGGTCTGTATTCAAAATCTTTTGAGGCCTGATCTAGAATATGCCCCTTTTATGTAATTTATAGTAAAATTACATATCAACTTTGTATCTACAATGCTTTAGCTATTTATGTTTTATTTATAACTAATAGTCATGACATTTTTGCATGTTGCTGTTTTTATTTCAGTAAACAAATCCAATTCCTTTATCTTTTTCACATGACAGATTGCTATAAAGTTTACAAATGAACCTCCCCAAGGTATACGTGCTGGACTGCAAAGAACATTTTCTGGAATTAATCAGGATCTGTTAGATGTTAGCAACTTGCCTATGTGGAAACCTTTGCTTTACACTGTAGCGTTCCTGCATTCTATTGTTCAGGTATTAGTTACAGAGTTTTCAAATAGTGTTCTAATATATGGAGTCACTTTAACAGAGGTTCCTGAAAATATGCGTTCTGAGATATATTGCAGCATCATGTTGCAGGACTGAAGCTTTAATTTCTTTTATCTTTATTTCAAGATTCCTTATTCTCTCTCTTTTTTTTTTTTTAATAAATTTTACACATTTTTTATACTATGGGTATTTAGAATGAGGTGTTTTTTTTTCTCATCTAAGTTTAGCTGTCCAAAAGTTGTTTGGTGTAAGGGGGAAAGCTATCTTTGTAGACAATAGAAATAGATAAGCACTCCACAAAAGAAAATCAGCTTATGTGTCTTAGCTGTCTCTCTATAAAAAAATAAATAATTTTCTAGAAATATATCACTCTTTCTGTCCATTGATTTTAAAGGCAATCCAGGTGCATAGATTAAAGTAGCTGTCTAATTTCTAGATGGCTGAAATTAAATGAATTTCTATCATTTAGTGTCCTGGTTTTATCATATTTTATCTGTCAGTGTGTTTTCTATGTTAATTCCAATGTGAGCATAATGATATCTATACTTTGTACTTTAAAGATATATGTAAGTTTTGAGATCACAATAAATACCAACATTTTGATCTCTCTGAAAACACCTTTTCATCAAGGATCTCGAAATAGTTATAAAACACTATTTAAGCCTTAGGTTCTATTGAGCTGCTCATATTTTCAGCAAATATGTTGAGAGAAGGACAGTTTGTTGGTGGTTCCTATTAAGATACAGTATTCTGTATTATTTTCCTCCTTCTACCTTTTTATAAGCATTGAGAAAGTTGTTCCACATACTGCCTCAGGATTATACTGTTCTTGTGGAAATAGAAGATCTAAGCTTATTCAACCATCAGTTCTTTTAAAAACTATTATACCTATTCATCTGTTCAGAAAATGTATTTAGGGATTGCCAATCAGCAAGCAATATATATATGTTGCCCTGCCTTTAAACTGACCAATTCTTAATATTCTTTGGTGACAAGATCTCTATGATAAATACAGCATAAGAAGTAATTCAGAGAATTTGGCAGAAAATCATTACATGTTTCTGCAGGGTATTACTGGTTAATGCTGTCTCATCTGCTTAGAAACAATACTTAATTTAGAAAAAAATTAAAGAGTTGTTTTCAATTCTAATTATTTTTAAATATTGTAGCTAAGGTACCTTAATGTTGCTTAACTGGATGTCAAAGACTATCAGCCATTCTTGACTTGGTAATTAAAACTCTAATAAATATGTTATCATTTAGCTAATCTTAGTTATTAGTTACTTTTAGATTAAATTATTTTTCTCATACTGCAAGTGTTACAATTTTATTTTCAAATATGTATGCAATAATAAATTCAAATAATGTAGTGGTGGCAGCCTTATAAAGTTGTGCATTTTGAAATATGTATTAAAGCAATACAGTGAAACTATAAGACAAAAGCGGAAACCAAGAAACCTTTGGCCAACTGAGCATTAATACAGGAGCTTGAAAAACTGAAACTATCATTATTAGACAGTATTTGTAGAAAAAAGATTTGAAACTGTAGAACTCTGAACTGAGTGTGCTGAAAATGCAGAGATACAGTAGTTCTTTAGATTAATTTATATAAAAACCTCATCATCCACACAGACATGAGATATTTCAAGCCTATGATGATAAATTGATTAGTAAAGGTAACAACAAATGATTCTGTTGCTTTTTATCTCTCATGGTGTAACTTAAAAATAAACTTTGTCTAGTACAGATATGTATGAGGGGCATAGCCATTTCCCATAGGCCAGCTTTCTTCTTCAGTTCAATTCTTTACTCTGCTATTGTTGTTATTATTATTGAACCTTAATAATGAAACAAAATTATATGTTGTTTCATAAACCTATTTGCTTCTGATTGTATTTCTAAGGAACGACGCAAGTTTGGACCTTTGGGTTGGAATATTCCCTATGAATTTAACTCATCAGACTTTAGAGCCAGTGTTCAGTTTATACAAAATCACTTAGATGACTGTGACATCAAGAAGGTGAATACTAAAATTTGCACACAGCGTATTTAATTGCTTTGTTTAGTATCTATAATTTTTTTTTCTTCATGTTACTATTTATAATAGTTTATTCATTGCTTTTCTTTCAGTGAGGCTTCTAATGATCAAAGTATCAGATTCTCTAAGACAGTCAAGCTGAAATATGTTGTGTGCTATCATCCATATAAAAATATGTAATACTTAAGAACCGGAATTTTATCTTGTTTTTTTCAGTACCATATCTAAAATGTTTACATGTCTATACAATAACTGTTTTGAAAAGCAAGCCAAAATATTAATAGAGTTTGACAGAGCTAATCAAACTTCTCTGTGGCTGCCATTTGGTCTAATATTTATCAGAGAAGAATGTAATAGAATAGCCATTCTTTGCAAAGCAGCATTTTGCCAATAGAGAAGGATGAGAATCCAGGGAGGGGAGGGAGAGAAGAGGCAGTAGCAGCTGAGAGTGATTTCAGGTCACACAGAAAATAATGAGATACATTTC